TTGTACGTGTCATCTTGTTGTGTCGTAAGACGCGACACATGTCGATCGTGCTTGTTTGTACTTTGCATCCGTATTGCACTTAAAGTAGTGCGTCCGAACATTCAACCCTTTAATTAATCATATCTGATTAGATACGGGAAATTTGGGCTTATCAGTAAGTACAACTGGGTTCTCGCTTATTTTGGACGCCGTTCAAAATATCCTCCTCACGCACCAAAACGTCATATTTAGAGAGTATTTTTCAATTTTCTGAGCATTAATGGCATCGATAATCGGAAAATATGAAAATATTAAGGAGAAAAATGTAATTGTTATTATTCGTTTAACTTTATACAGTAATTTTTTCGGTTGATTAATTTAAATGTTTCTGATTAAATAATCAAATTTTAAAAAACTATTATTTTACAAATATACAGATACCGTTCATAATGTTTATAACTTTTGAAAAAATTGTTTTTTACCCCTTCCAGCTTATTGTTCTATCAATGTATACGTTTTCTACTCGTTACACATATTTAAAATCACATGTTCTAATGATAGCGAAAAAATTCGATTTTGTATACTATAAGCTCAATATAATTTTAAATAACTGTAAATAATTGATAATAATTGAACTTCAATAATAAAATAATAAATGCAATTATAAAAAAAAATTTAGATTATTTAATATTATTTTTATTAAGAAAATAATATAAATCATTAAAGGTTTCAAATTTGTATTATAACCTCAAACCAAAATCGGTTTTTTTTTCAAAATTATATCTATATTGTCACAACTATTGTACATTTTTGGTGTTCAAGATCACTCTGTATACATTGGCGTATACTATATACAGTTTGGTTCGATAACTCGATCCGTTCATGTTTTTCTCTCTTTCTCTCTCTCTCGTGCATATGTTGGTTTCTTATTCAAAGCATTCATGAATGGTCGTGATTTTGAAATTAGTTTTATTTTGAGAAAATGTATGCATATACATACCATATAAATAGACATACTATACATAGGTACATCGAAACCTTATCCCACTTCCAGAAACGGGCTGTAGATTACACATGTGTTCCTTAAATGAACTGTACGAAATACACAAATAAGCACTCAAGCAGTCGCGCAGCAGTAGTTGTATGCTCGACAAATTTGAAATCTAATACGACCTCATAGTACCGCGTACGTACTTACGTACAGATCACATCAATACATGATATCGTCTATCGCTAACCGTGCTTTTCAAACAACATACCGTGAAACACCTTCAGTTTTATTTTGGAAAATGTCTTCGCTTTTTATTTTCATTTTTTTTTTTTTTTTTTTTTTTATACTTTTCCGATAAATTCTCTATGGTTTCTCTACCATAAAGTCCACTCGTATATAAGATAGCTACTTTTTACCCCACATGGGTATTGTAAGAAGTATAGTACTACTTGACATCACTAGAGTAGTGATACGTTTTCGACATACGCATAAATACACCGCTATATATACGGCGAAAAGATATATAGTCTTTAGTAGGTATACTACTCAGCACACTCCACATAACATTTTTTCAATTTCTTCGTCGATGCAAAATTGCACTTTTTCCAGTACACCTAAAAGCCCATACTCGATATGAGCAAAAAAAGAACTTTGATTTGAAATTTATCAATTTCATTATTTTATCCAGAGATATAATACCATTGTGATAATATTATATGGTTGATAAATCTTCAATTTATATAATGAACAACATTTTGTAAAAATAACGATTTCGTTTAATAACTAAGATGTACATTTTATATACTATCATATTGCCACATAATTATTAAGAATTTTCAAGTATGATAAGCTAATTAAAATTATCAAAATTATCTAGTTTAGAATAAGAAATTATGTGATGTATATAGTAAAAAATCATTTCTTCACTTTATTGAAGAATTACGTAGATCATGGAAAAAAGTAAATGTATCATTGAAACTAAATAAAAATGACGATTTATAATTGAATGAAATATAAAACCAACTCACTTACTCACTAGTATCCATCGAACCTTACACACTACTTGCCAAAAAAATGTTATTGAGACCAGAAACACCCATGCTTTTCGAGCATCAATCAATAATAAAGGAATTGGGGCACTTTAGACGACTCGTGATGTAGGCTCAAAGATAGGTACATAGAATGTTCACCTTGTTCAACACAATACATTATGGAATAAAAAAATATTAACATAATAAAACATTAGCTATGCACAAAACGTAGCTACTGATATGAATAAGTATTATATGAGGTTGTGTATTGTTCGCTAATGATTGCGACTCTCGTACGAAACTTAAGCCTTTATAACATCCTTCGACTATAAAGTAATAATCTGCGATGCCAGTTCCGTGGGAGCTGAAGACCTGTCACAGGAGAAAGCACATCCATCAAATGACACTCTTTTGTTGTCATTAACCTCATCCATCCATTATGGTTAATGCGTTTTTGAACGAATGCTATCAGTTGTTTTAAACGAGTTCAGTTTTCTTTAATAAAAATGTCACGATTGAAGGAATCAGTATTTTTTTTAAATACCCAAAATATGAAATATTAAACTATAAAATATATACTACTATTTGCTATTTTGTGATTAATATCATGAACAGTTTATTATATCAAAAGTGAGTACATACATTTGTTGTAAACATTTTAACACCATTAAAATTAAAAGTTAAATGTTTTCCTTTTAAAATATTGTACTGTCAATTCGAGATTCTTAATAATAAAATACTTATACTATTTTTTATGTTTTAAATGTAATTGAGCGGAGAGATAATAAAATTAAGAAAGTTTTGGAATTTGTTAAATTATTTTAAATTTAATCGATTTGTTTCGATGTTAAATGATATTATGAAAGTGTAAGAGGAAACTTTGTATGATACATTTTTGAATAAGTCTACAAAATAAGTTTAAATTACAACTTAGTACTAAAAATTATATGGATAAATTGATTCATAATTGTATCTTCCATTATGTTTCTATATCTCCCATCTTATAATATATATATATATATATATATTAGAGTGGTCGTTATTTTTTTTTTTTTATTTAATTAGGCTACCCCTAAAATTTGCTCAAAACTATAAAAAAAATAACTTGTCTTAAGTTTCATAAAAATTGGTTAATCCTAAAAGGGCCCTCAGTGGGGTTAAAGTTCAAATACTGGCAATCAGTACACTTCATAAATATAATTTAACATTTATTGTAGTACTATCTACTACTTAAACGTTACTAGACATGATTTTATATAGCAATATAGTTGATTTTGATAATACAAAATATAAGATACAAACAAAAAATATAAAACAGTTCACTAAATATGAGTTTTTTCATTTTTGAGTAGATTGGATTGTTAAACGAAAAAAATATAAGATACAATTTTTATAGGAAATTTAAATTAAAATATATTTTGTTCTAAGCAATTTTTGCTTATTATAAATATTTAAGACCAAAATAGCAAAAAATCGAAAAAAGAACCCTTTTTAAACTTTAACTCATGTGAGGATCCTTATAGGGTGAACCAATTTTATGAAACTTAACACAAGTAAATTTTTTATAGTTTTGAATAAATTCTGAGTGTAGCCCGATCAAAAATTGAAAACTAATTTTCTCATATATACAATAAGGACCACCCTAATATATGTATATTATATCCTATAAATATTTACCTTTTATTTTATTAAAATAGTACTTATTAAAATTTTATATTGGATTCATATAAGAAATTAAAAATACCAATGTTCAAATTATAATTCTAGTATAGTTAAATTTATATAATTAAGACAATTGGAAATATTTAACTTTCTTACCAAATGTATAAATACCAAAATATTAAGTAAATAATTTACTACTAATTATTACTATATTCATTATCTGCATATTAATGCAATAAAAATGTATAAATTAAAAGTTATGAAAAAAAATTGTGCTGATTGCTTAAATACGAACAGATTTGAAATAGTACGTGATTTGAAGCAATGACGTACAGTTTCAATAATCTACAACATTTTCTCAAAAAAAATATTATACAACTTTGATTATAATTTATAGGTATATATGATGTGAAGAATTGTTTATAATCAGTTATTATTAATATATGGATATTTAAATGTATGTTACTGTAAATGGGTCACATTCAAATTTCAACCGAAGATCTAATATCGACGATTTAATCAATATTACAAATTATAAGAACAATTATAATCATTTTTGTTACTACGGTATATGAATTAAATATTTTATGAGTAGATAAAAATTAAGACAAAAGTTTTTGCTAGCTGGCTATTACGATGCGTTTGTTTTTAATAATTCAAAAACTAAGTCACAGAGCCAATATACTGGAAGTATTAAAAATGTTAGGTAACTATACATTATTCTTCTTCCAATTGAGACGGATAAATTATTCTATATCTAAAAGAAACATAACTATTTTCATAAAAATTATTAGACATAGAATTATATTTAGCCACTAAGCATCAAATATTATAACATTTTGTGTTTCAAAATAGTAGCTAATTTATATATATGGATTAACAAAACTAATAACAACTTTTATTGTTAATTATAAATTGTTATGGAATATAATGTTCGACATTTAATTAATTTCAATTGCATTTCGATTTTGATATTGACGCTGGAACCGAAAAACGTATACGCCAATCTATTACATTTACATTTTTTATTTAACATTTTACAATATTTTTTATTTTTTTTTATGAAAGTTGGATCCATTATATTTATTTTACCTTTTTTTTTTTAAATTTTTTTTTTACCTTTTTATAACTCGAAAATATAATTATTTTAATATTTTTTGAGATATCGCTAGAGCGTCTTAAGAGTCTTAAGTTAAGACGCATTGTTGTTGAAATGTATTCGTTATTATTTTAACTGCGTACAACCTAGTGGATAAAAACCCCATGGGGGCATACTCTCTAACCCTCTACTATCTAATATTCCTAAAAAGTAAATTCATTATTGCAACAGCACTTACCCCTCCGGTTATGCTGTGACCGATTCCTGAAGCGCTAGCCAACTCGACCATGGGACAGCTTGGACGGTGCTCTTCCTCGTGAAATTTAGGCTGGTATGGTTCAAGCATGCGAATTTTTCCCCACCGGTTGAAAAACAACGCGATGGCCGCTACCCACAGTATCATCACACATATTACGATAAATGCCTCTTCGGTTCGTATCACAATAGGACCTGCAACATGATTTAATTGTACACTTCATTATTGTCGGTACTGTTTGATTATAATATTGTACAGGTTGATTTTTAAGTACGCTAACCAATTTTTATACTTAAACTACGCATTTTTTTTTTTCAAATTCTGGTTTATAATACATGTCTAGTATAATACTAGTATTTATAGTAGTATTTTTCTATATATTATTTTCAGTTTTTCTTAAGAAGTATCATCATGTAGCGAAATCGATGTATGAACTGTTGTTTTTCAAACGGAAATACAAATTTGTTTTATTTTTTTTATTTTTTCAATTTTAATTTATTACATCAAAATTTTGGATCAGTACTTTTAAAGTTATTTAAATGTATGAATTAAGGATTTGCTATTATTTTTTGGAAAATATAACGTAATAATTATTAATATCTGATAGTAAGATGTTTTTCATTTTATTTAATTGCTTGTGTTTCAAGATAATCATAATATTAACAGATTATATTATTTAATGTGATCATTTGATACATATTTATATTTAAATAAATTACTTGAAATAAAATAATAATTAAATTGTAATAACTGCAGATATACAATACTAATGAAACTCATCACTCTTATCTGGCTATATTAAACCACACTTTTTTAGAACATATAACCAGGGACTGGAACCTATTGAATTTTTCAGTTCTAATTCCGGTTTCGGTTATTCAACTAATTTTTTAAGGTTCTAGAACCAATTTATTTCGGTTAATTCTGATTATTAAATATTTATTAAAAAAATAGTCAGAAATAAATTATTTAATCTTGTTTAAATTGTAATTATTTTATGTAGATAGAAAGTATTATAAATAGTTAAAAAATAATTATAATTATATATATATATATATATATATATATATATATATATATATATATATCTCAGCATATTTAGGTATCTATATAATAATAGAATAATAAAAGTTATCCTATATTATATATTGTAAATATTGCTTTAAGTTACATTAAGCTATTTTATTCCAACTTTGGATTATACAATATTTTGTAATATCTGTAATATTATGAAATAAATATTCTTGATTTAAAATTTAATTTTAATTAAGAAACAAAGTTGATACTGGCTATGGTTGTAGCTGGGTATATTGTAAAATTTGTATAGACTTACATAAAACCGCACAAAATATAAATCACATAAAACAAATTACTATAATCACCGTCTTAGAGGATAGACCAAAAATAATAATATGCTATAATAATTTACAAAACACTGAATAAAACAATAACAACATCTCTGTTGCTGACTTCCACGTCGCCGGGCCAGATCACCGCTGGTCGGCAATGTCATATAAAATGGTTTTTCCTACAATTTTTAATTTTACAATGCAGAATAACATATCCGTATTATAATTATATATTTTCATCCGATTTGTATTTTATTTATATTATCTGTATTCTAAATAAAATAAATTTAGAAATTGATACATTGAATTATATATATAATAGGAGGCATTAATATTTTCCATGGTATTAGTTGGCTAAAATCGAAAAAAAAAATTACACATGATGTATGCATAACACTTTTCAAAGCAAAATAATAATAATTTTTACTATTCTAAATAATTTACCTAAATTAACCCTTATATAATTAAGGTTTTTCATTTTTGGAAATAAAGGTTCAGGTTCCAGTTACGGTTCCTAAATTTTAAAGGTTAACCGATTACTGTAATGGTCTTTTTCGGTTTCGTTTATAGTCCCTGCGTATGACATATGCACTATACTAATAAAATATAATTTAAAATCACATCTAAGTTAATAAATAATCCAACCTAGAGCAGCAGTTCTCAACCTTTTTGACTTCGCGACTCCCTATAATGCCACCAAGATGTCTACCGACCCTTTTGTAATGTAAGCATTGAATATTTTTACAAAATTTTATTATTGTATTTATTTGTATGTACATTTTACAAAAAAAAGTATATTATAAAAGCCGATTGGCGTTAATTAATAGGAAAAAAAAATAAAAATTATGTAAATTTTAATATTTTTAAAATTGAATGACTCTTTTGCTGTTGTTAATTTAAAATAATTTTTTTTTCACATGATGCGGCCTTAAAAAAAACTGTTGGTGACACCCAAAGAGGTCGTGACCCTCTGGTTGAGAATCCCTGACTTAGAGCGTAAATTATTATAACGATTGTATGTATGTGTGTGTGTGTTGTTAACGTTGCTTAAGACGCTCTACTGCTACCTTGTAATTGGAGTCTGTCATATGAACTGTTTTAATTCACCTAAAGCAGTTATAAAAGATTATTGATAATGTAATTCATGGGTAACTGTAAAACTACTATCATATATTATGGCACGAAAACAATTAGAAAAAGGTTAGTCCTGAATAAAACTATAATCCTGAATGATTCTATATTTGGTAACTCAACACAGGATAGAGTGGTTGACATATTTTACAATGAATTATTCATATTCAACGTATTGACATTCAAAAATTCTTTTATATGAGATCGAATATAAAAAAAACTGGGTTTCAAATCCATCACATTCTTTATACTCTTTCTTGCAGTCTTCGGGTACTTTAAGTTCGAGTTGTGCTTAGATAAAATCAATATTCTGAATTAACCAAAGGAGTTTTTCTTGTTGAAATTCCAGTTATGATATCGTGACTATTTCTGGACCAAACTATTCCATCAGCATTACATGCGAATCAGAGTTGCTATGATTATGCTACTAGGTTTCATTTTTAAGTCATATTTTCATTTGCCATATTCTTTTTATTATGCCCATATAAGAAAATATCACGTAGTTATCAAATTATTATACTGCTATGGGCGTGCCAGAGACATCACAAATTATTATTAATGATAAGACAAGTATTAAATGATTCCTATTATAATACGGTCTCGGGAATGTTTTAATGCAATGGTTTAATATAAATTTAAATAGAAAACAACACGTCAAAACGAAAATAATGATTAAATTGCGACAACTGGAACGCGATAATAACGAAACTCAACGCGTTTATTAGGCTATGTTTAAACTGCGCTTGTTTTTAACATACATCGTATGCGGAAATAATATATAAATAATAAATAATAGCAGAAATGATGTAAAATCACGGGAGATCAACTAATAGGATTGACAGGCGCAGATCCAAGAGAGGTAGGAGTAGAGGTGACCCCCCACTCATTGATCGTATCAAAATGTGTTAATATAATTTGATGTACTATTAAATTGCGTAATAATATTCTAATGTATTGTTTTTATCACAGATTTCCGTTTTTTATTTTTATAATATAAATTAATGAATAGTTGATAAGAACAATATTATTGTGACAATCGTCAGCCGGCCAGCCCCAACCGACTCAAAGAGTATACTTATTTATAATCCACCCCTCCCGTTATGGTAGGCTGTATCCGCGCCTGAGGACCGAGGGCTTAAATTATTATAACACAGGCCCGGACTCTTAAAATATTTTATATACGTCCACAGTGTAACAACACAGACCGATTATTGCATTGTGCATTGTTATGGTATTAGAGCACTCAACAGAAATTGGACAGGTTCGCCGACCAAATACTGCTAGTGTATCGGTTAGGTGAGCAAGTGTGTGTTCATATATATATATATATATATATATATATATATATATATATAT